CTTTGGTAAACGGTGTGTTCAAAGTCAGTTACTGACTTTTGATATGAGAAAGTCATTTCTGCTCAATAAAACTAAAAACAAATTGATAAATTAACCATCATGGTGGTTTAGCTACGTAATCGAAGGTAAGATCTATTCTTTCTTCTGATTGGCCTGACGCACTTTTACAACCACGTGGTTTGTCCCTCTCTCTGATTGGGTGTTCCACCTGCCCTTCATCAGCTCCAACCAATCACTACTTTCGTCCTTCAGTCTTGCGTCACGCTCACACGCCGGCATTGACAATCCAAGATGTCGTCGGTGATCCCCATGTGTGTCCGAGCTAGCCACGGCCTCCTGAGGCTAAAGAGCAGGGTGATCCGTGCTTCTTCCCCGGCAGCGGTGGATATCATCCGGACACTCTCTGCGAACCGTCCCCCGGCCGGAGCGGGTAGTGTTCCGGGCGGGTTGGCCCAGGCTGTCCTTCAGCAGAGACTCCAGCAGCAGAGTCAGGTGAGGTGCGCTCGATTTCTACCTCAGGTAGCGACGAAAGCGGGAATACTGAACCGTGTGGGATCGATCAGTAAACCCCGCCCTTCTAAACTGTCCGTGTAAATAAAATCTAAGCTACTTCCGACCAGTGACGGCTACAAACATGTTACCTCAATAAATCTTTGATATCAGCTGTCTCCTTCCTGAAATAAGTTCTTCTTCAGGTTTTTGATTAGTTCCATCATAGATGCTAACATGGATGTTAGCATGGATGTTAGCATGGATGCTAGCATGGATGTTAGCGTGAATGTTAGCATGGATGTTAGCGTGGATGTTAGCATGGATGTTAGCATGGATGTTAGCATGGATGTTAGCATGGATGTTAGCATGGATGCTAGCATGTGTAATGTTGTTTAGACAGCGTGGCGCAGCTCCATCATGGTGTGTAACAGTCATTACTGTCAGTAATAACACCAGATATGCTGTGCTAATGGTTTGACAGTTAGAAGAGGATCTCCTTTGGTTTCTCTCCACATTCATTTTAAACATCCTCTTCTTCACTTTGTGTTTATATACTGCTCTGGAAATAAATAGACCAATTTAAATAATAAGTCTTGATAATCATCCAAAACCTTACCAAATAATTTG